CTGAGCACAGCACGCTCAGTGGAGGAAGCACAAAAGTTCTTGTGACCCCAACATGAGAASAACATAGAAATGTTGGGGCAAGTCCAAGGCAGCCCATAAAGTTAATAAGTGAACTGAAGCATCTCTGCCATGGGAACAGSCTGAGAGAATTGGGGCTGTTCACACTGGAGAAGAGAAGGYTGTGTGGAGACCTCACAGACCTTCCAGSATCTGAAGGGGCTATAAGGAAGCTGGAGAATGACYCTGCATCAGGAACTGTAGTGACAGGACAAGGGGRAATGSGTTCAAACTGAGAGAGGGGAAATTTCAATTTGATTAGGAAGAAATTCTTGGTTGTGAGGGTGGTGAGACCCTGGGCACAGGGTGCCCAGAGAAGCTGTGGGTGTCCCATCCCTGAAGGTGTCCAAGGCCAGGCTGAATGGGGCTTGGAGGAACTTGGTTCAATGGAAGGTGTCAATGCCCATAGCAGAGATTGGAACGAGATAAAATTCATGGTCCCTTCCAATCCAAACCATTCTATGATTCTATGAAAAGGTGTAAAGCAAAATATTGGCTGTGGCATTTGGAGACATTTACTCCAGATTGTTTTTCTGTCAACTAGAAATAACAAGTTTAAATGGACATTAGTCTGGGGAGAAGRAACAGCAGCACAAGGGAAATTTAAAACATGTATGCACTGTGCCTCTTACAAGCCAAAATAAACAGCTCTGTTTCTTCCCAAGGATCTCTGTGCACAAGCTCAGCAGCATCGTGGCACAGCCAGAAGCTCTCCTGCATGTGGATCCCATGCAGGAGGAGGATCTGGTATAGAACCAGATACACTGGCAAGTTTGACCTCTCTTCCTGTCTCTCCAGTATCACTTCAGGCTTTAAGTGAATGTCATTATTTTCCTGCTAGTCCTTCCCTTGTAAAATAATTTACAAATTATATTAAATAATTTGGTGTCTTGATTTATTAGAAAAACAAATCTCTTCAGAAACAAATAGTCCTACAAAGGAGCAATGAAATCTGCTTTCTTTATTAGAAAAACAAATCTCTTCAGAAACAAATAGTCCAATGAAGGAGCAATGAAATCTGCTTTCAAGGAAGCAAGTGTATTACTGCAAATCACAGGCTGGCAGTTAAGTTCTGCATAATTACCCCAGATATGTGGCAGTGATATACATGTGGTAAATCACACTTATCATGCACTTTTGACCGTCTCACCTGCACTCACTCCCCCAGTGAGGAAATGTGAACAGTCCCCATCTTTCATCAGTTTCAAACAGCTGCCATTAAAAAAACACAAAACCCCCAAACCCACAACAAAGAATTCCACATCTTCTCAGAGATAACCTTATCTTTTGCCTTTGAAATGGGAGGTTTTCCCTAAATTACATTGGCACAAAATCCAGGGTTGGGGGTGGGATGCTCAATCAGACTTAAGAGAATATAACTGAAGTTACCTATCAGGGCAGAAATGGAAGCAAACATTCCTCRGAAATACCATGAGATCTGCAAAGATGTATAGCATAAGAAAACGCTCAGAGGGCAGTGAAGCCCAGGCACAGGGTGCCAGAGAAGCTGTGGCTGCCCTATCCCTGGAAGTGTCCAAGGCCAGGCTGGACGGGGCTTGGAGGAACCTGCTCTAGTGGAAGGTATCTCTACCCATGGCGGGYGTTGGGACAAGATGATCCTTAAGGCTCCTTATGAACCCAAGTCATTCAAAGATTCTATGATCATTCTATAAATAAATTCTATAAATAAAGTGTTTTAATCACTGGAAATACGAGGGTCACAGATTTCTATCTGCAAATACGCAGTATTTGTTTCTTGTGCAAGAAACCACCAAGGTATTAATCTTTGAGCTAAGAAAATTACAAACAAAATAAAGTCAAATTAAAACAAGGCTGCTCCAGTCAAAGATACTTTGTTACTAGTTCTGGAACTGGAAATGAGGAACCATCTTCAACTCTAAGGAATCAACTCCAGCTCCCTCWAAGTACAAGATGATATCACAGCATCCATGTCATGAAATTCCTGAAGGGAGYAGACATGGCTGTCCAAGGGCACCACAAAACAGTTTAACATTTGGCTCCCCTGAAATGGTAATGAAAGGGTTACACCTAAATATTGTTTTCGCTRTAACCAGCAACATGTACAACAATGTGGCTGCTGTAAGAAGATTACAAGGAGAGAAAATCCACAGGAAAATACAAACTCAAGAAACCACCACTTCAGCAGTGAGCACCTTCCTTCTCATTAGTTTCCTGCCTCCCTTCCTCCACATTCCTCTTTGTTATTGAGTAGAATGATTTTTTTTAAAAAATGAGGTGCAAAGGCATTTTCACACCTCTATCTAAAATGAGCTTAGGTCTCGGCACTAATTACACATCATTAATGAGTTCAACCACTGAGACCAGGCTGGTWAGGGAAGGAACACAGGTCTGCACATTGTGCATGGATGCACAGGGATGCATGCTGTATTCTGTCTGCATGGATACCTTGCAGCCAGGGGTTGAACCCTATTATTTGCAAAAGTAGAATGTTTAACACTAAAAATCACAGTCTACAATACTATCCTTTTCTTCTAGTTATTTCTTTTCTCTGTAAAAGTGCTTGTAGGGTTTRTGTTGGATTTTTCTTTCATTTAATACTAAAATGCACTAAAATATTACATTCCAATCCCCATTTTCAGGACTCTCAACAGGTATGCTTCATTACAAACAACACTGTCAGCTCAGTAATATTTCTTTCTCTATTTATCTATCTGCCTGGCCTCCCTGACACAGACTGGGAGGTGATAATAAAACGTTTTAGCTACCCACAACATACTGGTTATGTACAAGATTATCATGTTCTCACAAAGTCTGCTTGGATGGTTTAAAGTTGTCATCTTCCACTGGTGGCATCATTGCCAGAGATCATCCCCTCTATAGCAGAGCTGGCACAGGGATACATAACCATACTTTAGCTGCAAATTAGAGAGGAAGAGCTGATTCGGGCACCAGGGGGGTTCCCTGCTACCCTCTCTACTGCTGTATAGAGAAAGCTTTGCTCTTTGCGGAATAGGTCTCAAAGAGCAAGTTGACAAACTAAAGATGATGATAATCAGTGCCAGTTTAACATGCTGGGATTTCACTGGCCTCTACAGCAAGGGCTTTTGGAGACACGCAGCTCTGACCTCTGACTCCTCAAGGTTGAACTGTGCAGGTGAAGCACAGGCACATGAGAGTTATCCTCAGACACCAACTCTGCAATAAAGTGGCAAAACCAACACAGAAATTCCTAACCAATATGAGATCTAAGGTCTAAGCACCTACAGCCAGAATGATAAAKGTCTTAAACATATACATTTTGTTTTTAAWTAGTTCTRTAGAATCACAGAATTKTWAAGGCTGGAAATGTCCCTTCAGAACAAGTCCATCCATCACCCTAGCACCACCACTATGTTCACCATTAAACCACATCCTCAAGTAYCATATCCACACATTTTTTGAGCATTTCCAGGAATGGCGACTCCACCACTGCCCTGGGCAGTYTGTTCCAACCCCTGACCACCCATTCTGTGAAGAAATTTTTTCCCTAATATCCAGTCCAATCTTCCCCGAGCACAACTCCAGGCTGTTTCCTTCATCCTGTCCCTTGCTCCCTGGGAGCACAGCCTGACCCCCACTTGGTTGCCCCTCCTGTCAGGGAGTTGTGGAAAGTCAGAAGGTCCTCCTGGAGTCTCCTTTTCTTCAGGCTGAGTCCCTCCAGCTCCCTCAGACACTGCTGGTGCTCCAAACCCTTCCTCAGCTCCATTCCCTTCCCTGGACATGCTCCAGCTCCTCAAAGCCTTTTTTTTTCATGTTCCCTTTTCTCTTCTAAAGTACAGAGCTGTTAGTGATGTCTGTTATGCACTCCTTAACACAAGACACTATACATGCTATTACTTAACATTTCCAGGTCTAAGTAACTTTCAGAGAAGCAAGTAATTGTATAGAAACAGCACACATTGAAAAAAAACCCACAACTTCTATCCTTGCTCTGGGTTAGATATGTATAGGAACATGTGGACACAAAGCCAACTCAGACTGACTTTTATTAAGAAGTGCATAAAGAACAGATTTTGCACAAATTCTGACAATTTCTTGTTAAAAGCCTTGTTGTTGAAAGTATTATTCAAGCCTTAAATATATCCCCCTGTGGGATATGTGTGTGCTAAACCAATTCTTAACAGACCTATTAATTGCACTTCATTAGTTGCTTCAGACTGTAAGTTTGTGGAGCCACTTTGATTCTTAAGTTTCTAGCTGGCAGGAGAAACAAGACCTGATTGTGTCAGAGCTGAGCTGCTGAAGAGATCAGTGTTTTACAAGGGATGTAAAAATGGTTCACAGCTACTAAAATAGAAATCTTCGTTTGCTTTTCAAGGAAGGGGGAAGGAACATTTATAACGTAGAGTTTAGCAATGGGTAATTAAGAAATACACCAATAAATTAATTTTCCCAGGATATTTGCTGGCTTGTGGAAAGACAGTAAAACACATCTGGGAATTTTCCAGCTGAAAGYTCCTTGCAAGTTAGGTCTTACTGGGTATAGTTTTAACCCTGAACACAGTTTTAATACTGAAATTATGTAACRTTTTCTTCCATGTGAACACCAAAGATGCTATTTTTCTTCTGGATATTTTTTTTCTAGATGGTCAAAACATRTATTCAATAGGACATACTGCTTTATCACCTCAGGTTTGCCCTGAAATGCCCCTGTAAGGAGAATGTTACCAGAATTAGCTGCTTTCRGAGCCCTACCACTGCATTGTAGAATGGTTTGGGTTGGAAAGSACCTTAAAGATCATCTCTTTCCACCCTCTGCCATGGGCAGASACACCTTCAACTAAACCAGGCTGCTATAAGCCCTGTCCAACCTGGCCTGGTCAGGTCAACAAGCAAAAACAACGAAGTTTACTGCCTTTTGAGTAGTTTTTCTCTAGYTACCCTGACAACCACTTGCCCTGATAGAAGATTTTTATACTCACCAGCATCCAGACTACCAGTGGCYGCAGTCCAGCCCATGACGGGGGGAATGGCCCCAACAACAGCTCCCACCCACGTGTTGGCAATGCTCATYCTCTTGAGGGGTGTGTAGCAGCATGTGTAGAGGAAGATGTTGAGGGCTCCCAGGGCACCGGTGAGAGGGTTCACTCCCAGCGTGAGCAGGACAATTCCTGGGATTCCACAGCAGGCAGCAAAGCAGACRGCGAGCAGAGGGCTGTGGGGAGACATGGCACATGCTGAGTAGGAGCTGGCATTAAAGAATGGCTGYTGTCATTCTCCTTTTGTCTTCCCCCCAAAATTAAGATTGAATTTCTGTGATTTTTTTACTCAGCCATACCAAATTTTCCTGTTTGAGCCCCCATGCTAACAAAAGCCTTTCCAAAATGTTAAGACAAACTTGCTACAGCTCTGCAACAGAGGTGATTCTTAATCTTRTGATCACTGTGTTCACCAAATAAATCCAAGCTCTGAAGGTAATGGAGAACTCTTCTCTCTTATGGAAAACTGGCACTTTCAGCAGATCCTCCTCTTTCATTTTAGCAAGTTTTAACCTCTGGAAAAAGCACTCGAAATATMGAGTAAATTAAAATGGTTGTAGTTTGTCAGATTTTTAACTGATTGTAGAACCTTCTAAATGCAACAAGGTTAGACACAAAATTAGGAAGCATTTATGAGAAAAAAAAAATACATCCAATCAACAGTAATAAAGTATTCTTTGACTTGACTGAGAAAAAGTCTGAATGTTCTACACCCCCATTTATCTGATGCACTGTACTGAGCAGGGGGAGCACACCAAAACAACACTGGCAGCAGAATCAAAATTGATTATCTTTTATGTACAACTGAAATTAGCTGAAGATATTTTAGGTTTGRCTGAAAGCAGAGAATGACAGAGATGAAAATTATTTCTGTGGATTTCTACTGCACATCAGCTAAGACCTCAGGAAAGGTTGGAAACTCATATTAAAATCTGACAGAAAGTGGCTGGAGCTTTGTAAACTTCTGTTTGTAAGTTCCACAATAAACATCCAAATAGGATGAATAAGGATTTTTTGTTTGGCTACCAAAACCCCACTTGATAGGTGGCATGGTGGGACAACCCTAAGGAAGTTTTAGTTGTGACTCCTTCTGCCAGATCAACATGTTTCCTGCTGGTGAGGATCTCCTCTCATGCTTGTTAGAAGYGTTTGGTATGATGGAAATAAAGAACTGAAAGCCTCTAAGAAATAAAGTGGTGTGGGCAACATCTGGAAGGGAGAAAAATGCCATTAARTGAGTTGCATTTAATAATCCATGGTCATCCATGTAAGAACAAAAAAYGTGTGCTTGCAACACATATCTGAGTGGAATTTAGCTTTACACCTTTTGTCTAACAGAGAACCATGAAGCCTTTGTGTTTTGCAATCCACTCTGCCCTCTGGCCAAATCCTTAACCCTAAAATAAGGTTGCAAGCACTGCTCCATCCCTCATAAGAAAAATTTGCTAGTGGGGATGAATTTTATAGGAGTTTTACCAGAAAAAAAAAATCCTACCACTCAACTTCTGATATTTAAGATGTTTGTTAGGCCAATACAGTACAGAGATCCTAAATACTTGGAAGAACTAAAATGAGCAAATCTTATACTAAAGATCTGCCTTCAATTYAAATTAAATTGACTACATCATTTTATACAGCTTTCCCAAACCATCAACAGATTTTAGGTAACAGAGTGTGCACAGAGCACATTTCTGCTCAGTGTTACCAGCCRTGGTGTTACCAGTACATCACGAGTAATGGGAGGGTACATCATTGCCTTTCAATGACAATGAGATGYACAAAATTTGAGGCTGTTTTCAGGAAAGAAGCCATATGGAGCTGTGCCCTCTGGTTCTGCAGCCTGTGGTGCTCCTTTGCAGGAGCAAAACACAATTTGTTTTTGTAGCAAAACACAATCTGTCCCGCAAACCATCCCAATGCCTACCACAAATGCTGGAGTACTTCGTAGATGTTGCCCTCTGTAGTGAAAGCCTGACTGGGCTTGTTTAAACAAATCTATCTTGACTGATTCTTGAATAAAATACAGTCAAACAGTAAACACCAGATTCACTCATTCTCGAGGTGACAAAAGACCAGCATGACCCTACGAGGCCGGGCTGCCCACGTCCGCCCTGCGGGGCTCACAGACATAAATGAGGGCACAGTTTGATCTAATGCAGTGAGCACTTTTCTCACTAATCAGGAATGAAGACTTATCTRCGTGTCTCCAATTCAAATGAACGCTACCCACCATGAGCAGGCAACAGCCCTTCATGTCTCTTCTTGGACAGGAATGCAAAGGCTGGGAGTGTAAAGCCTTCCTCCACAGATGAACCCTGTTTTTGCCTCTCACCCACATTGGTTCCCTGCAGCATGGACAGCCCTTGGTGCCAGCCCTGATTCCAGGTGTCTGCTGCCTTCACTTCAAACCAATGGATCAGAGAAATACCTTTAAAAAATATGGCTTTATCAAAAGGGAAGTTTTGTGGCTGGGACCTTCAAAAGAGTTGTATGTTCCTGGTGGAGAAGAACACATTTTTGTTTCTCAGTTTCTTCCTTTTTGCCTCTTTAGGTGAAGTTCCTGGAGGCACATCACGTAATCATAGAATTACAGAATGGTTTGTGTTGAGAGGGACATTACAGCCCAACTTGTTCCAACCCCTCTCCTAAAGGCAGGGGCAACTTCCACTAAACCAGGGTGCTCCAAGACCCACCCAGCCTAGCCTTGAACACTTCCAGAGGTGGAGCAGCCACAACTTCTTTGGGCAATTTGAGGCAGTTTGATCAGTCTGTAATCATCCTAATGCTCTCAGTGGAGGGCATAAAGTCAATGGAGTGATTCCTCTCAAGCAGCTGAACTACTTTACTTTTAAAATCCTGAAAGCATCACATTTTCTACTTCTCTCCAATGTCTCCTCAGCAAAGAAGARTAATTGTCGTCTGCCTTACAAAGGYCTGCTCCTAAAACTCCAACTGAGATTAGAAAGTCAAACTGTGATCTGATGACACAGCTTTGTTATTTCTGTCTCTTAAAATACTATTTGGTATCACAAAGACACTGAAATCAGAAATCAGAACTTTTCTTTCATGGTGAGATATGAGGTAGAGGAGAATAACTCACTCTCACATAAACTTTTCATGTTTACAAGGTCTAGAAGTATAAGCAACTCCTCACTGGGGAAAAGGAAATATCTGAGGAAAAAGTAGAGATTTCAGTCACTGGTGATGCTCTTTCTGATTCAGTGACACTGCGGATTTTAAGATAAGACTGAGCCTGGGTTTAAATCACTGCAGTTTAAGAATTCTGATTTCTATTAGTTTATGTCTTCTAGGGATCAGTGTGCATGTCCATGCTCACATTGCCTGTCAGYACTCAGGTACACAGGGTAAGGTTTGCTGATTTGACACATGCTCCWTGGACAGGCTGCCCACATCTCACCAAGGGACTACAAGAGACCAGCAGCTCATCCTGAGCTGGAGAAAGGCTGAGACACTGAGTTGTCACTGGATTTACCCCAATCACCTRAAGTTCACACACTTCCTCCCACTAGAGCCTCCTGCCACCATGCAGCCCATGTCAGCCTCAGGTCACAGAATTCTCACATGGTGCTTATAAGTGGCTGAAGAGTCTCTGATGGTTTTCTTCATCCTTAAACCATCCYATGCAGTAAGTACAGGCTGGGGACAGATTCTGGTACATACACCTCATTTCACTTGGGCATTCACATTTGCCGAGTGAATTGCTCTCATGGGAAAAAAAGGCAAACTTCYATTGGAAAACTGGCTAAGGAGCTAGCTCAGAAAACAAACATCTTGAGTAAGAAACTAGGTTTTACGATGGATTCTAGGGAGGAGTTGGTTTCAGTTATTTGGCTAATTAAAATCAGTTTTTGGAGAAATAGTACAAGTGCCAAATTAATTCTCTTCAAATTTCAACTCTAAAATAGCCAGTATGACACAACAAAGGACAACTCTTAAAGGCAAACCACAACCTGGTAGCTTTACCTCGTCCCTCTTCTCTCTTCTCCTCTCCTCTACTGACAACAAATATGCCAAAATCTGCCTAATAAAAGTGCTAAAAGGCATCTACTTTCAACTAAAAGCTTTTGAGAACTTCAGTTGACTAGGGAATAATCAAATTTTTCCTGATCCAAAGAAAACGTGTTGTCATTTCTTTCCCAGGGAGTTCACCCAAGATGGCCCTACCCCAGTCACACTCCATAGAGAGCATCCAAAAGGAGAATGAGAAACAGGAGGAAGAATGAGGCCCATGTTCTCTCATTCAGCTCTGGAGAGATGCTGTTGGTTAGGCCATGGAGGATTGTTTAAGCACAGTCTGGGGATGTTGGGGCAATGGGAGCAGGAAGGAAGAATATCACATGGGTACTATTCAGGTATCCCCTACACACATGACCATGAGACATGTATGCAGACCCTCAACCAGAGGAGTGAGGAGACTTTGGACAATGCAGCAGTGTACTTCAATTCACGTGCAAAAACAAACTCTAAACTASTTGCGACTTACAGATGTTCTGGTTATACATAAACAATAAGTTTACACACATGTGAAGGAATATATTTATTTAACAGGCTCCAGAATCATGGMTAATAGTACTTACTGACTCACAGCCTCACATGGAAAATTAGGAAGGGAAAACAAATCATTTGCCCATCTATAAAATTAATGTAGTATTTTACCTATTTCACAGCAGCATYAGCAAGCTTAATGTCTATAATAATCAACAGTGGGACTACTTACACAGGCTTTTCTGTGCTGTCTTTGGCAAAATATTTTGTGAAGATGATTGTCAAAGTAGAATTTGAACTACAATCTAAAAAACAGTGTTAAAAATGGGGCAAAAGTTTAATGATTTAAAAGAAAACCTAAACAATTAAGAGCAAGATACAATTCCCTCTTAAAATCTACCAATACTTAAAAATATTAAAAACTCCTGTATCAGCATCTAATGTTTCAACCTATTCCTGTGAACAGATTGACACACCCATGCAAATCCTGAATAGGTGAATTCATGCAATCAGCAGTTGTACGCAATTCATGTTCAGATGTTACGCAAATGGATAAGAAACTTAATTTGTGACCATGTGTTAATGGGAAACCAGACACGCCAAACATATTTACACAAAAGCATAAGACAGAATGTAAACGTGCATTTAAGACTGGCTGCACATTTCTCAG